CATCGTAGTTGGCAGCACCAGTGGGTGTTGCCACTCTCCACTCCAAGCAACGAACTTGTCGCCGCTGGCGACCAGGACCAAGGACAGAGGTCCACGGTTCGCTCCGGTAGCACGGGTTTACTCAAGTGGACGACCTATGAAAGCAATGCCTAATATCTGCAATTTTTCGAATTAAGTATTGTTGTCGTGACTACCAGTAAATCAGTAATATGTGATGTATTCACCCAATTTCGTTTAAGGTAATGAAGGACTGGTAGAAGAAGAATTTTCCCACAATGATATGATTTGAGATAATGATTCCATTGAATTTCGACTCCCACTGGGAGTGTTGATAAGACCGATGCCAGGCCGAAACTGCAGTCCACTGGTGTCTGGATGAGAACAACTTTTGGGAAGTCAAGGCTATGAGAAATTCAATGAAAACGTCAGCTCAACTCATATCGTTTGTGGGAAAATTCTTTTTCTACCAGTCCTTCATCAGCTCAAACGGATTCGGGTGAGTACATCTCATAATATCTGCAAGCATGGGAACTGGGACTGGAACCGAGCGAAATCGGTCAACCAGAAGGATAAAAAGCAGATCTACTGGACCACGATGGAGATCCGAATATGAGGCCCGAGCCAGATCAGCCGATCGAGAGGTCGGCTATGATGAAACAACAGTAAACTTGCCAAAAAAAGGCGCACATATTTTGACGAGTGAAACGTAAACAAGTTGGTCAAGGGATTGACTTCACTTGTCTCTTTGTCGAGTTGTAGCTGAGAGTGGTGTGGAGAATGGCAAGACTCACTGATGCTGCCGATTACGTGCCGGCGCAACGTCTGAGAATGTACCAACTCCACTTTCTGATTCTGGGAATTATGATAGCTACTATGGCAGAGGACTTCGGACAAGGTGCGTTCTCCAAAGTCCCCTTGACAATAAGACCAAGTTGCGAAACTGAGTTCAACCCACTTCTCATATTGTTGTGGGGAAATTTAAGCACCAGTCCCCTTATCACCTCAAACCAAATATGGCGGACTAAATTCATATTTCTCACCCAATCAGACCCAGTCTGTGGGATTGCAGCCAATGGCTCAGCGTTTTGGTGGAATTATTTGTAATTGATGCTTCTGGCTCCGGCGAAGTTGGTAAAGCACGGTTGTTTTCTTGAGTAAGTAGGTTTTCGAGACTACCAGTAAATCAGATATACGATTTGCTTTCACCCTATATCATTTAAGGTGATAAAGGACTGGTAGCTGAATTTTTCCACGATTATATCAATAGAGACGTCGGTAAATCGACAAGCGGAAACGTCGAGAGGTCGAGAAGTGACGTCAAGAAGAAACGAATCTATAAAATCAAGACGTTAAGACGCAAAGAGGTCGAGAAACCAAAGGGTTGCGACATCGAAAAGACAAGTATTCCCAGAAATAAAGACGTTGAGACGTCGAGAAATCAAGAATTCGAGACATCGAGAAGTCGACAAGCGGAAAAGTCGAGAGGTCGAGAAGTCAAAAAGTATAGATTTGGAAAAGAAAAGTGTTCAGGGAAGCTAGACATAAAAGAAGAAATGAGTCTATAAAATCAAGACGTAAAGACGCAGAGAGGTCGAGAAATCAAAAGGTTGCAAAGTAGAAAATACAAGTATTCCCAGGAATCGAGACGTTGAGACGTCGAGAAATCAAGAATTCTGGAAGTCGAGAATTCAAAAAGCGGAAGCTTTGAGAGGTCGAGAAGTCAAAAAACAGAAATTTGGAAAAGAAAAGTGTTCAGCGAATCTAGACGCCAAAAAGACACGAATATATGAAATCGAGACGATTAGACGCTGAGAGGTCGAGAAATCAAGAATTCGAGACATCGAGAAGTCGACAAGCGGAAAAGTCGAGAGGTCGAGAAGTCAAAAAGTATAGATTTGGAAAAGAAAAGTGTTCAGGGAAGCTAGACGTAAAAGAAGAAACGAGTCTATAAAATCAAGACGTTAAGACGCAGAGAGGTCGAGAAACCAAAAGGTTGCGACGCCGAAAAGACAAGTATTCCCAGGAATCGAGACGTTGAGACGTCGAGAAGTCAAAAAGTTGAGACGTTGAAAAGTCAAGTATCCATGACCTCGAATTGTCGAGATTTCGCAATGTTGTGATGCCGCCGATTGGAACGTTTTCGGCGTCGATAGGTCAAGAAATCGCCAAGTTTCAAAGGTTGACTCTTTGGTCCTTTAAATGGTGAATGCGAGAATATTCCCGAAACTAATCCAAAAGTGAGCGCACCATTCAAAGTGAAATGAACCTGATCAAGAGACATTATGAACGAAGCGAAAGGTGGTTAGAGTTGAAGAAAGAGACAGAGAGAGAGTGAGAATGAGAGTGAGAGAGAGAAGCAGGTGAGACTCACCAGTCTCACGAGTCGCGCAGGTGACCCAGGCCTCGTCGGCAGACCGCCTCGTGGCACCACGACCGGACGAGTTGAGTCACACACGAGACAGGCATTTACACAATCGCGATGACGTCGATTCGGACGAGCGCAGACCAGGGGCGGGCGGGGGCTTGGCAACCAGCCGGTACAATGTCAAGGCGACGGAGCGAGTAGGCCGGCCTGAGAAGAGAGCATCGTTTGGGGCTATCGGAGAAGGAAGCAAGCGAGGCATGCTCGAGAGCTGAAGCGACAATCGATCAGTCCGGCTTGGTGCCCACTCATCGGAGGAGGCG